AAAGTTTTTCCGGCTCTCTTATTTTTCTCGTTCTTTATAAATTTCAAAAGTTTAATGATAGTTTCATTTAATATATTTCAAATTCGAAATAGATGCCAAAAAATTTCAAAAAAAGATTATGATGGTGTCTATGATGAGGCCAGTAATAAGATTAATTAATGTGAATGTGAGTAGAAGTTACTCACTGGGTTATCCATGGCGTGCATTCCAGCGAGAAAGCTTATTTGACCAGCTCCGAGCGATGCGGCGAGACTCAGTCGTATTTGAGGGAGGGGTTCATGAACATCTCTAATTTAAGAAAAAATATACCACGCTGATTTCTATCTATTTATTTGTTAGTTTCAACCGATAAAAGGCGTAAGAAACTTGACATTGACTACTCACGTGAACGAGGAATACATTACTATGGTTAGAATCATTCCGATCATGGAAAGACTTAATCCTATGTAGGTGATAATCTCCAAAATATCTTCGTCCTTCTGGAACAACTGTGTAACAAATCAGAAACAGAGGGAATAACATCGTTGTCAACTTAATGAACATATGTTCAACGCTTAAAGCAATATTGAAAAACGTAATACCACACTGTCACTACTGTAGTCAACTAAGAGAGCAAAATGAGTCAAATGATTGCAGCTGTAGACTGTTTCTTCTGAGTTGCTTTGGGATGTAACTACATAACATCCATCTTTCGAAAATCCATCTTGATTGAAAAATATAACGAGATAATTAAACCATTAAATACTTGAAGTAATAGACAATTTATATGATTAAATCCTGAGTAGTCTTTATTCTACTTACTGGGATTATTCACTTAAGCCGTTTGGATATCGAAGACTGGATCCAGAGCTTGTAAGCAGCATCAATTTGCTTGCTCGCGACATGGCTTATTTGTGTCTTTTTAACGTCTCGCTTGGCTTTTGGCTTTGAAACAAGGCTAATTTGGGGTGATAACCGGCGAAGGAAGTCGAGATAAACTCTCAAAGCACAGTCCCTTCATTGATATCTTGTAAAAAGTTATCGGTCAGGCTTCTGCTCTGGTTGAGGAAACGCTATTTATTATCAACAACCACAGATCGCACTTCCTTTCAAGACTACTCCCTCCAGTTGGACCGTTACACGAACTTGTGATCAATGATATTAAGTCTTCCTTGCAATTCGAAATCCAGTCAATTCAGAAGAAAAGGAGGTAACAATAGATGGTTTGTGTGATATTATTGTTTTTGATGGTGATGACAGTTGTTTTCCCGTTTTACCTATTGCTGAGGCCACTCCAGAACATGTGATGCTTCTCACTTAGGTCATTCTGTAAGAAGATTCATGTTAAATCTATTTCAAATGATGCATCGACTGAGCCTGAACTTATTGAAACTATCACTGATCTAAACTGAACCGAATGAATTTCATTTTGCTTTCGTTATTACTCTTTATTACCCCTTTGGGGACAAAGGTAATAGCACGCTCTCGACACGCTTCCACTTGAAAATAAAAGAAACTGGCTATAACACACTTGCTGAGCACGCCAGAGCAATCTTTAATGAGCTTATGCTATTGTTTCATATAACAAACTACAAACAATCAAGCGTGCGCCGTTGAGTAATGAAGCGTGAGTAGGCAAACACGCAAAGCGTGTCAACCTTCGAATACAAAATCTAACTTGTGATCGGACACAGCACGCTAATCTTTTGTAAACTTTTGTGTAGCACGCATGTTAACTAACGTAAAGCTAGAGTAGTAATTACACAGTCAATGTACTCTCATTCTTGCAGTAATGCTACGGGGTCAATTTTAAAAACCGAAGCTCGTAACGGTGTTTTATAATTATCAACTTCCTCCTGTAACATAACATAGAGCCATAACTATAACATAGAGCCATAACTATAACATAGAGCCATAAAGGGCCAAAAAGTTCTTGTGAGAATGTACTCTATCGGATGGCCAAGGCGATTTTAAGGGGGAGGGTGGACAAAACCAAAAGTGAGAAACTGAAACTGGAGCGAATGGTGGTCATGCACTTAGTCACGCGCTCAGTCACGTGCCTTGAACTCAGTTCAATCAACGCAGTAAACAAATAAACTTTTCCAACAGCAATGAATTAAAAAAAAAATCGAAGAATTCAGGATGGAAAAAAAATCGGAAAGAGAACTCTTCATTGAGCTTAAGAGCGCAATGAAAGGAATGGTAAGAATACTGTCTGGAATATCTTTTGGAAACATCTGTTAGCACATCGCGTCATGTGGAGTACTACAATGGATCAAAATACAAGAGATATCTAATCGAACGTTCGGAAATCCGATCTATTCGAACAGCAATAGTTCGATTGCCACACTCAGTCAAACATAATCGAACTCACAATAAAGTTTTGTCAATCGATCATTCGATTGCCGAACACCTGTTTGCTGATTATGAAAGGGAAACTGGTTCGAAAAAATCGACCAAATACCATTACGAAAATTCTGCTCCCCTTTAGATAATTTGAGAAGAGTAATCTTACTCTCTCGCTCGCAAAAAAAAAATTGTTAACTACAACATTCTGTCCCATAATATGAATCAACGATGTCAAGAGTGAATCGAACTATAAAATTGCTTGTCAGTGTTTTTAGTCTCTTAATTACGGTCCTTCTTTTGCCCTCTTTAAAATTTATGTCACACGCGTGGTCTCCCATTGTGACTCAAAAGACGGCAAAGCAAACTTTTGGCGAAGTGCCAGTGACAGGTAACGTATTTTACTCTCATCAAGTTTGTCGTAGCCAAACATATCACCCGTGTTCCCGTTGGCCGGCTCAGCTTCAGTGGAAAGCACATCAACGCACGCCAATGCAATTGTATTAACTAACATGGAAATGAACAGCGGTCGTGTTTTTGGTTCATTGCGTGGATAATGATGGGCTAGCAGCTTTAATTTACCACTGGCACATAAAAGTTAATTTGTAGGATCCATTAAATACACTAGGCCGGTTTAAATTTGGGGAAGCTCAGAGCTCACGCCCATAATGGTTCTTTTAACGAAACATACCTGAAGTTTAACATTTCAGCGGGCAGAAAAAAATATTAAGGGTCAATATACTTTAATAGTGGTGTCTACTTACCATTGTACGTTTCTACTTTTTCAATTTTCCATCGATGGGGTTTTTTATTAAGACGGACGGAGGGGTGTACAATTTGAAAATAAATATATTAAAACTATATATACTTCGAAACTATTTCTATGATACATAAAAACTATCTTCTTAGTGGCAGCTAAATAATGTCAGATGTTTAAGCCATTCAAGTAACTTGTTTTATCATGACCTTTTTGGATTAAATAATGCAGATCCTTGTACACACACCCAATTATTACTGATCCTAAAAGAGAGCAGAACAAAATTCCACGTAGCTTAAACATCGGCAAATTTAAGTTTCAAATGATTGCACTCTCTTGAAGATGCTATACAGATAAAAATTACTTTGATGATTATTTAATAAGACACTGATGACTCAAATAATTAACGGGTATGAATGTAAAAAGATAACGGCAATGTATACAAACCATTGTTGGCAAAATTCCCAGAGGAAATATTGATAGATGCCTGCCATTCGTGTTTCTCCAGATAGAAGTAACTTGCATTTTGTCTATAACCCAAGGACTTTCGAAAGAAAAGAAAAAAAATTAATGTTAACATAAGTGAAGGTCAGATTTATGAAATTAACAAACAAAACTCATTCAGTCTTTTTTTCTGCATGAGGGGACGCAAGCGGCCTCAACTGTAAGTGCTTTTTAGAAATGCTAGGATATTATCCTAGCATTCCTAAAAGAGAGTGTCAAAATCCGTGCGTATGTCACAGAAATGTCACTAGATCTAAATTACGCCAGATGAGGGCGAATAAATCGTGTGGATATATTTCGCTTTATAATCTACAATGTGACGCAAAGGAACCGGCCGAGGAATAAAGGCACTATTGATTGCATGTGAAACAAAAGCATTAGCTGATGACATTTTGATATCAGGCATTAATTCATTTATCTTTTCATATTTATTCGCCCTCATCTGGCGTACTTTAGGTCTAGTGACATTTCTAACATTTGCACGGATTTTGACACTCTCGCGCAGCTCGGAATGTTAGGAATGCTAGGATAATATCCTAGCATTTCTAAAAAGTACTTACAATTGAGGCCGCTTGCGTCCCCTCATGCATGGAATCAGTTAGTCATTCAGTCTCCCTGAGCTTCAAAGAACAGCCAGTCACTGTCAGCCAGTCAGTCAGTAAGTCGACCAGTCAGTTACTCAGTCAGTTACTCAGTCAGTTACTCAGTCTCTTGATTAGTCAGACAGCTACTGAATAGATGATCGATTGTCACAAATCTGAAAAGACAACCATGTAAACACTCACTTATGTTGTCGCGAACGATCCTTTTTGAACTCTTTGTTCCATTTAGATGGTATTTGCCGTAACTAAGAACAACTTTTTTTGAAGGCGACTGCCACCTTAAAAATAGACTCTGTTCTGAGTTCATCTACTCCAGACCGTTCTTCTCCGGGGGTCGTTCTTCGATATTTAGTGGTAAAGTTTTCAAACATATTGCAGCTTCCTGTAAGTCCATGAAGTACACATTATTTAGTTTTTATACCTTTTCCAAGATTCATCATAATGAGATATAAATCAATGCATTGTGATAATTAGCAAATGCAGCATTGAGAGGCGCTTTCGGTTTAAAAGCAACAACTATCGCGTAAATGATACCGAAGAAGATTTTCTCGTCTTGGGTAAATCTATATATATGACTTTCTGATGTATATGTTTTTAAATTGTTCCTCTGAGAGTAAGGCTTTTTTCATTAAGATAAGGGAAGGAAAAGATCACTTACAAAAACGTTTCGAGTACTAATCACTCTACAACTAAAGGTAGAAGATATTTAATCTTTGATGGAAATTTTTGCTCTTTCGTATTATATTTTATGCAACCTTCAAATCGATTCGAAGATTGCAGCTACTCTTTCGCTACACTTTTGGATTAAAAAGATGGCGTTTTATATCACTGGTGAAACCACATACCTGTAAGGAATTGTTGCTGGTGATGTTTAGGCTATCGAACTCTGACACAGCATCATTTTCCTGAGACCGAAAAATGGTAGTGAGGTATGTAAACCATAAAAAGGCTTGGAAAACGAGAACAAAATTATGTCACGATAGAAAGGTAAGGAAAGAATGTCAATTTTTGAAATGTTTCTGGTGTTTGTGATGGTGATGATGTTGGCGTTGGTTTTACAGCTGCTGACGAAGGCACTAGGAATGATGATAATGTTGATGATAGACCTGGTGAGGAAGGTATCGATAATAATGATCTTCCTGATGAAATTTTTGAAGATGGTAACAGTATTGATGATGATGCTAACATTGCGGCCGATAATGCAATTAATGACGAAGGTTTAGGCAAAAACGTTGGTGCCGATAAAACTATTGACCACAAAGTTGTCAGTGATAATGCTGCTTCTGATGATACAATTTGTGAAGATGATGCTGGGGATATTCTTTTCATTGATAATAACGTTGATGACGAAGATGTAGGAAAAACTGTTCTTGCTATCGATGACAATGCTGCGGACGATGGTGTTGTTATTATTGTTGCTACCCTTGAAACTAGTGATGACAAAGATGTATAAAAAACTATTTCTTCTGCCGACGATGATACTGTTATTGACTTTGCTACTCTTGATACTATTGATGACCACGATGTTGGAGAAACTTCTCCTCCTGGCGATGATAATGCTGATGGCGACGATTTTGTTTTTAGTGTTGCTACTTTTGATACTATTGATATCGAGGATGTGGGGGAAACTGTTACAGCTTCCGACGATAATGCTAATGACAATGATGTTGTTAATGGCGTTGCTACTTTTGACACTACTGAAGAGAAGGATGTTGGAGAAACTGGCGATGATAATGCTGATGACGATGATGTTGTTATTAGTGTCGCTACCCTTGAAACTACTGATGCCGAAGAAGTTGGAGAAACTGTTTCTGCTGCTGACGGTGATGCTGAAGACGAGGATGTTGATAATAATTTTGCTCCCGATGGTACTTTTGATGATACTTCTGATGACGATGATGCTGATCGTGATTTCAAAAACTAAACATCAAGTAAAGTAAATTGTGTTATAAAAACAAAGTCAAGGGGATAAATGTTTTAAAGCATAACTCACTTAAAAAAGTAAACATGAATTGCTCAGTTCAGGTTACTCAGAAAGCTTGCAGAGTATAATTTATATCACCAGGAGCCTTAATAATATAGTTAACTATATAGCTGTATTATGAAAGATTAGGGAAGGGAATTTTGAATATTTATTATTCTATAATAATAGAACGATTTCCTAGCTATTTGAATCCTTGTATCACGGAGCATTTCAGACTGTAAATTAAGTTTCTGTAGCTATTTTTTTTTCTTGCAAAACCAGATTATTGAAAATTTTAATTTATTATTTCTTTAACAATTAACTCTCTTTTCGTTAGAAACGTTATATTTAGCGTCATACATATTTAACAATTTTTAGCCGCTACTAGGTTTAGCTCGGTTCAATACACATACTGTTTCTAGGCTACGTTTGCTATAATTTTTAACACAAAAACCCTTGTTCACTTTCTCACGAGCTCTCTCGAAGTGCTTTTTCATGACTAAGAACCTGCCTGAGAGGGCTGGTCCAAGTTCCAGGCCCTAAAAAGGGCATGGCGTTAGGTTTTAGTTTCCGAGAATGTTAATTATTCTTAGGTTGAAGACTCACAAAGTTTAATGCAACCATGTTTTGAGCCAATAAACCTAAGAAACTTGCGGAAATAAAAATTTTTTGACTGTTTAGGTTCAGGGTTGTTGTTGTATTTTTTGTAATACCTACCGGTTTTTCAGTGGATCAGTTCAGTGGATACTTTTTCTCCTTGCGGGTAACTTTGAGACGTGAATTACTTTTAACCAATGTGAGAATGACATCACCACAGCTGGTTTCTTGCATGCATACCAGATCACATTTCACGCACTTATCGGGCATATGTAAACATACTGTGGATCCCCCATAAGTTAAAATTCCACTTTTGGTACTCATTGGTACTCAACGTGCATTTATGATAGCCGTTATACAGACGAATACAACATTTACATGAGCTGCCAGTCGATTAAGGGTTAACCTTAAACGCAAGGAAGCATGATGAGGGAGCATTTCACCTCTTGAGGACGTCTCTGGAAAGAAATTGCAATGAGCTGGAAACACAATCATGAATCACTTGAAAAAGGCAAAACAAAACCAACTAAACTTGCGCTAGGTTGGCTTAAACAGTCCTTAGTCCTTCGGGCGCGTACGAAATAATTGTTCGAGTTTAAAAACAATTCAGGCTCACAGTGAAGCCTTGTGCACAGTTATAAAGTTATGTGTTACCGTGCGTTTGCAAAGGAAGACTTGGCAAGTCATTAAAATACTCAGCGAAGGACTCAAAATGCCAAGAAATACACAAATCAAACAGATCTATTTTGAAAATTAACGCCCTATAAGCAAAAATTGCGTTAGCACAGTATGAGTGTAAAATTATGTTACTATGGGATTTTTTATATGGGGACGAAAAAGACTTTTCGAGAAATTATGCCGCCCCCAGCTGCAGTTTACATTTTTATATAGATACCTAAAAGTATAGTCTTTCCACAGCCGTTTAAATTGTTTTTATATTCATCCTTTTTTTTTTTTTTTTTTTTTTTTTTCGAGTAAGGAAGTGTGAGGCAAGCGCCTGTGTTCACGTTCGGTAAATTCCCCACAGTTTTAACTTTTTAAGCCCAAAGAGTAAGCAATATTTCATTTCCAAAAAATAACAACACATAATCGCATCCACCCTTTGAACAACTGGGCACTGGATGACACGACATTTCGGCAACGACATGCCACCATTTTGTAAAATTACGATGAGTTTTAGTGACGTTATATTAGGAAAGGAAAGTGTGTTACTAAATTAGAATGATATGAGATGGAATAAAACAAAGAAATGTACATAATTGAATGAACAATTTCGCAAGAATGGAATTCAAAGTTGGTCTATTTTTCCTTATTGAAAGCATCTCATAAATAAGAGCCTCGAACTCTCCGCGACACTGCTTTAGGATGGCAAATTGCTCGTGAAGATTGTGTGGTCTTTGATAGTATTCTTCCTTAAGATAGTTACCGATGACATAATATTTGTGCTCCTCAATGTGAGGGTAACGGTTTATGTATCCTATATAATTCGCATCATACCAATTACATTTAAATTTATACACCACACATTGTTGGTTTACCAGTGAGGGCTTTGTCTCCGTGACGTTTGTCTATACCATTTCTTTTGATAGGATTGGTCAAGACAAAACTAAAATAAATTGATGTAACCGAGAGAGGATTGAGGCGATACTTTTCGTTGCTAGTTGTCTTGTGGCGGCCAGGTTTTTCTGCAAAGGAGACGGCAGAACAGAATTCAAAATCTCAATAGACTTCATTTACCTTATTTCTGTTATTCATTTCTGTATTACTGTACCACAAATCTCATTTGCGACAGACATGTCATCACTATTCTCGCGCCCAGCTATGTGTTGCGCGTACATGTATTTTGCTCGCAGTGTTTTGTTATCAAATTCTATCCCTTTCCAGTGAGATGTCTAAAATACACCTCATGGAAGGTAGTGACCGATGGAATAACATATTTTACTTCAATCTCATCTGAAATTTCCTCATGAATGTTTTACATACATATACATACATACATATACTTTATTGATGCTCCCTGAGTGGGCTTTTCAGCTCAATAGAAAAAAAAAAAAAATACAAATATATAAATTAATTGAGAATGTAAATACAATAATATTATAATTACAAAATATATATCAATAATATAATATATCAACTTAATAAAACGTTTGCAAGATGACGTCTAAAATTCCTGGGGCATTTTAAAGACTTAATGTTATCGTTCAAGGAGTTCCAGAGTTTGGCTCCTCTGAAAGCAAAGGACCGCTGCCCTGTTGACAAGCGACATAAAGGTATATCCAAAGCACCAGATGATCGAGTTTGTCTATTATGGACTTGAGAACGTGATTTAAACATATCAGCAAGATAGTCTGGAACAAGCTTGTTAATACATTTGTGCATCATAGTAGCGTCATTTAGAATGAGTTTCTCTCTAATAGGAAGCCATTTCAACGATCGCAACCCATCCGAAATATGGTCATACTTTCTTAGTCCCAGAATAATTCGCCCGGCAAAGTTTTGGACTTTTTGTAACTTGTCAATATTGCTGCTGCTGGTATTACTCCAGACAGTTGAACAATATTGGAGTTTACTAAAGACAAAAGAATTTATTACTAACAGAAGTGTTTTCCTATCCATCAAACATCAATCTCATCTGAAATTTCCTCATGAATGTCAAAAGAAATGTCTCGTACCAAAAGTAGTAAGAATTTCAGTGGACACACTTCGACCAGCTTTAGTCACCGGTTGTTTGTTTGCCGCTGGACTTAAAGGGTGCCCTCAAGCTTCCTCACACGAGGGCAGTCTTGTTCACGATGAAAAATCCGCGAGAGAAAATAACACTAATTAAACCGGAAGCTCAGTTTTTAATAAACTTTTATCAGACCGTCTTACTCGACAGTCCTTTATCATAAATTCGAAAGACTGTTGTCAAAAAGGAGATAAGATCATCCATAAGCTGAAACGAAAAACAAAAGGACCTGTAGGAATACTGAGAAATCGATAGCTGGTAGAAGCCATGACGCCATAACGGCCTAAGACAACTTCAAAACAACCACAGCCGCGCACGCGGACTAAACAAACTTCCACTCTACTTCTTTTTTCATAAATGAGATGCACATATATGGAATTTTACCGTATTATTTTTTCTTTTTTCCGAAAAAGAATTACACATACCTTAAATTTACATGATATTGATAGCATGTTTGTCCTCAACCGTCCCAAATAAGTTATCGCAGCTCAACTTTGAAATGTGATTTCTCCCACACATTTCAATCGACGCCATTTAAACTGCTATTGACGCGAAGCTCTTTCTAAGCTATATAAAGTAAACTGGTCCCAAGCTCCATAAATATCAGAGACAAAAGTACGGGGCTAAAATCTGGGGCTAGCCTAAGTGTTAAAAATTGGACCGTCGCGCCACGTTGCATGACGTCATGGTATAGACAAAACTGTCTATGGCCCAGACGGGTTGAGTTTATGTCTATCCTGGCTATGATATTTTCGTAGATCTATTACCTGAAGTGTGATGAGAAGAACGTGTGAATGTTGGCATGAAAATACAACAACTGACCTAAAAATTACGAACATTTTTGTGCACTGGCATAGAGTCGCTAGCTATCGTCTATATCCCATGACCCCAAATCTGGGTTTCGGCTGTTAATTTAGTTTCTTCCAAAGAGAGATCTTTCGTCCTGCTTCGACCTTGCGAATGAACAAAGTGTGGCTAGATTTCCGAAACAGACAATACTTCATTATGCATATTATTCTTTAAGAGAAAACATAGCGAAAACAACAGATTACATTTAAGGCCAGGGCTTTGTTATAAAACAGCATGGGGTTGTAAGAAAAGCTTTCAAAACTGCAATTGAAAGCTTAGTCATTTGTCAAGTGAATGGTTCTCCCACATCAACCTCAGTCTTTCTCTCACTTAAGAAAGTATGTCGAATAGTGATGCAAGAACCATCAAATAGCAGTGCTGATAATGCATTAGCATGAACCGCACTTGAAAAACTTCCCTGACTTCCTCTATTTCGTCAGACATTCAAAATTTTGTTCTATGACTTCTCCTGTGAAGTTATTTTGAACCTGCTATTTGATTTCGGTAACGAAGTCAAGAAATATAAGACCACGAAACAGTTTTTGCAGTATAATAATGATCACAAATTTATATTAAACAAATGCAAAACTTAGTACTTTATTGACATTCAAATCAAGGCCCCTTTGATTTACGTTCTTACGGTTCATTTACTATAAATTTTAACTTCGTAAAATTACTCCATTGTGAACATTATTGCTTGGATAGTTTTATGTAGCTGAAGTTCCCATCAGTCTTTAAAACTGGGCCCTTGATAGACCTTGTTGTTCTGTTAAAAAACAAAAGA